GGCCTGCCCTAGTTGTTCTTGCAAGCCTCCAGACTCAAAAGATAAGAGGGACCCAGGATTAATTGGGTCTCAATGACCTATATTACACTGGGTAAAACAGTCTTCATGCCTGAATTTCTCCTGGTTTCCTAGGCACACTCTTTGAGTCATGTGGTCTGGTTTTTGGACCCAGCTTGGATTATACAAGTCTGGGCTCCTGGACTTGGTCCCACAAACACCGGATGCTATAGCCCAGCTCCTGTCTCAGCTCTCCGTGGACAATCAGGAGATGCATTGTGTCTTTGCCACACAAGGATATAGTGTAGCTCACCCTCTGGGTTGTGGCTCAGTGGTAGAGCGCTTGACTCACACATGTGAGGCACTGGGTTCAATCCTCAGCACATTAAAAAAATAAAAATAAATTTACTAAAATAAATAAAGTACCTTTCAAAAAAAAATTCACTCATGTCATTTTCCTTGAAATATGTTACTAGGGAGTTACTGCTAACAGCCACAGCCAAGTAATATGATGCATGGCATTTTTGGTTGAAAGGTGACGCCAGCAAGCCATTGAGATGATATGATTATGTTAAGATCTGTATTCATATGGATATTGGACTCCTGCTGTCCACCTGGAGAGTTCCCATTGGTTGGGGAAGTGCGGTAGGAGGGAATTCCGGAGGAGGGACTTCCTGTTGGGGTCCGGGAGAACGCCGCGTGGGTCGGTTGGCAATCTTGCTGGGAGCGTTCGGGGCATTGGCGGCAGTTTCAAAAATAAAGTTTGTTCCTGCTTGAGTGGCTGGTGATTTTGTGCCCAGCCAGACTGCAGCAAGTTACAATCTTTTGGAGGTGTCAATTCTTTTTTCATATTTCTTGTGTTCCTTCATTGAGATTTGTGTATTTGGTGGTCAGATATCTCTACTACTTTTATTAGTAAGCTGCTTTCCTGAAGATAGTTTGGGTATTGGTTTGTAATGCAATGTTATCTTTATTTCCACCTGGGCACCACAGTGGAAATATACCTGTAATATATTTATACTGTAGTATATTATACTACAGGTATATTTAGCTTTGATTAGTGAGTTTGGGCCCAGTGCATACCATGTCAAAAGTCAGAGATTCACTGAATCTGCAGGCCACTCAAGAATGGGACCTCTTAGCAGTTGAGGCTGGTGTGGTATAGATAGCAGTATGTGGGCTACTGTGTGGCTACTCCTGCAAAGCGAGTGATGGCCCCTATTGTTTGGGGTTTGTTCAGACAAGTAACACTCTGTTACTTGTAAGAATATGTGGCAATGGCTGCACCAGTAGTGTTGAGGTGCCTGAAGTGCCTGTACTCTGACCAAATGATGGTAGAGACCCAGGTGCAGAGAGAGGTGGTAGTAGGAGACACAGCAACCCTCTGTGGCACTCACTCCATCTTGACAGTAGTGCGTAGTCAGACAAGGTATGGGGCATGTAGGTGTGGTAGCAGTATGAATTTTGATGTTCCTATCTGCTGCTAATATGGGTGTGCTCACCATGGAGGAGGACCTTGCTTCTTCCCACAAAGCCATACACACCGGGAGACAGGGTGATGACAGGGCTTTTTCTTCCCTCAAATCTTTGAGCTACAGTGCCCACTGAGAATAAGAGTGGGCAGGTTATACCTAGAGCTAGGCAGAAATCTTGAGGCCTCCCTTGGCTGTGTATGCCTAGAGATGGGGTGACAGCTGAGGCTCCACACATCCTGTCTCCTTCAGCCAAAGGGTCTACAGGAGAGCAAGACACAGCCAACACTGGGTCAAGTTTCTCTCTGGACCTCCTTAGGCTGTGTGTGTGTGCGGGAGGGACACCAAGAACAAAAATTATGCTCAAGGCCACCCCAGCACACCTCAGTAGGCAGGCAGCAGTGAAATGACAGAGTTCTTTTCCCCATTCTCTTAGAAGCCTAAGAGTGGTGCTGTAAATAGGGGTGGCAGGAACCACATGAGTGACTGCCTTCAGTCCCAGCACCAGTATAGACTGCATGGTTGTACACACTCTTCTCCTTAGAGGGCAAGCTACTAAATCTCCCAGTTCTCCAAGGCAGCAATGTTACCCTCCATGTTGCAACACCTATCCCCTATAGTGCAGGGCACCAAGCAGGTTTAATTCAGGGTCACTCTACAGAGCCACATTTGATTTCTGTGGCAGCCATTGGCTGAGCCAGTGCAGTGAAGTCTGTGGGATCCCAAAGATGGAAATATGCAGGGATTCCAGGCCCCTGGAGCAGCCCAAATTCAACAATAGGTCCTTATTTGAAATGGCTCCTGGCTACAGCACCCTGGAGACATCACTGGATGATATAAAATTCTCCACAAAGTAGTAAGACTACTCTGCAGATTTCAAGTAACTTGAAAAATTATTTTAAATTAACACAATAAAGCCTTTGGGGACTGTGATACTTTCCAACAGCTAGGATTGCTAATATATATGCTGATAGTTTGCCAGGACTCTTTTATCCTATCCCTGCAGAAGGATGGCTTGCCCTCCTCAGCTATGGAGCTGGGGCAGCAGATGCTAGACATTTTTTTCCTCTTATACTGTTGTCCCAGATCTCTGGATCTTATAAGGTTTCATTTTCTTTCTGCTGATGTTCAGTGTTCTCCATGATTTTTCACCTCAAAATGCAGCTACATACCTGTTGCTTTGTTGTTACCTTGTGGAGGAAGGAGCAGGTGAGTGCTGGATCTCTCTATCCAGTCATCTTGAAATCCTTGCTAAATTAAGTCTTGTCAGCAGCTAGTATCTATTACAGAAAAGCTGACCCCTTGAATCTCATTTTCATTTGAACCCAGTTGAGTTTTAATAACTATCACCTCTGCATTTTGTCAATTTGGGGTTGGGTCCTTTCCTTAAAATTCATCACTGTAACTAAGAAATCACTGCTGTTCTTTGGGGGTTGAGAGTTGGATGTGGGAGACAGGATGTTCAGAAAAAAAGCACACATATTGCTGCTTCTGGAAGTTTTGTTCTTTAATGAGCCATGGGGTGATTTGTTCATCAAGCTGCTTTTGTGTAGCCATACAGTGCATACTTTGAGTGACACAAACTGCACTTTATACAGATGATGCCTTGCCCCCCACCAAAAACAGAAATTACAAAGTGCCAGTTGGTTGCATCAGGAATGTAATCAGTTCTGTGGGTGAAATAAATCATTCTTCTTATAGAATTATTCTATTAAACAGTAAAATGATATATATTTCACAGGATATGTCCTTTCATAATACATAGTCTTTTAAAAATTTACACTCGGCATACTTATAAATTACTTTAAATTCATTAAAATAATATAATACTAATCTGTAGTCCACACCTTTCCCATAGTAAATACAAACACTTGGTTCAAGAGGTGGAACTTTTATATGACCTCAGAGGGATGATAAATAGGCATTAAGAATGGGTGGGTTAAAAATTAAAACCAATTAAAAAAACCAGAATGAATGGGTAGAAGGTGATAGGCTCATTGGTGGAACATTTTTGAAAACAAGAGATCAATAAGACCTAATAGTTCTATCTCTCTAATCATCACTTTGCTGTTATCCTTTTAACACCAAATCAAATGTGGGAGTGGTTCCAAAGAAAAGTGGTTACAAGTATTTGAGGGTCATAGAAAAAAGAACTCCCACATACAGCAAGGAATTCTACCACCAAGGCCAGCATGGTGTTGGGGACGGGGCTGAAAAGTGATCACAAAAGAACAGGTGAGTATAACATGTTTTTCCAATACAGAATGATGCAAGCCTCAAGTCTAGCTCCCCACCAAGGAAACAAAAATCCTAGAAAGAGGCAGATGAGAAAGCCATCTGGATTGTTTCTTTTTACAATTGAAACCTTGTTTTGAATGCATCTTAGACTCCCTTCTCTCTAGTTCAGCAAAGTGCTCGTGATAGGTACACATTCATTAGTTACAATTAAAAACACATGGCCCACAGGCACTGGGGGGACTGCAAAACCTTGTTAGACCCTAACTTTACAGCACCCTTCTGTGAACCCATCTTTGACCCTGAAAATAACCCTACTGTGATGCAACACAAACAGAAGTCTTCACTAGCCTTCTGGTAGTTTCCAAAAGCATGGAAATATCCCCCAATCTAAGGTCCTTCTGTCTCTTCAAGGCTCATAGTAGAGAATTATATATCCCTTTGTGTTTTAAGAAGCCAAGTGTGGTCAAATAATTAAATGGCAGGAAGTACAAAGTACTTTGCAAACTAGGTATATCACTTCCAGAATCCTGCTTTTGCTGTTAATGCACTTCAATCTGTGATCTAGAATGAAATTATACTTCTCTGCTTCTGTTACATTTTCCATCCTACATATGCAATTACAGGGATACATTAGCTTTAGTGGGAAGAATAGAAAAAACAGATTTTTAAAAAATTTTTATATTTTTAGGTGTAGTTGGACACAATGCCTTTATTTATTTATTTTTATGTGGTGCGGAGGATCGAACCCAGTGCCCTGCACATGCTGGGCGAGCGCTCTACCGCTGAGCTACAACCCCAGCCCAGAAAAACCAGATTTTGTTTGGGGTTGGAAATGTATAATGTGACTAGTATGGGCTCCAAATGTGGTGCTGCCCCACTACTGCCATGTGGAGATTTTCTTTGGGGCAACTGAGATCAAAGAAAAAAAGCAAAGGAGAAGCAATAGGAAATCATAAATTTGACATATATTAAGTTTAAATATCCTAATCATGAATGATTGTAATGCAACATCACTTTGTGGTGACATAACAATGCAGAGGACCATTTAAGAACAAATGGAAGTAGACACAGCATTTGGTTCTGACTTGGATCTGATGGTTTAAAGAGTTATGGCTTCATCTCTTTATCAGGCCAACAATGCCTGTTATTCTGAGAACAATAGCTCTCTTTCCCTCAAAGAGGGAGCCCACACTTGCTTAGACATTCTTAAAATTGCATGGATCTCTCCATCTCCACCCCCCACCCCCCATTCTGGCAGCTTGTTAAATGACTAGAAATTCACAATCTAGCAAATGAAAAAACAAATATCTTTTATTTAATTTTGTCCAAATTCAGGTCTTAAGTCCCTGAGAAAAATTATAAAGTCTCTTAATATCCACCAACTAGTTCCTATAAAGTGACCTATATAAGTAGTTTTTTTTTCAACTGCCAAAAACTGACCAAAAAAAAAAAAAAAAAGCCCTACAAAGATTTAGATGGGAGAACATGTGCCAAGATCTGTTCCCCAGGCCATTTTTCTTGGACAAAGAAAATAATTCACAAGGGTATTTTTTTTTTTTAAACATGGTATTTAACCAACATTCTGGAAAGTAACAGTTAATGCCCAGCAGCACACTACTCTCACAAGAATACTGAAACACAGACTGTGCAGCTGGGCATAGGGCCCAGGAAGCAGCATCCTAGCTGGACACAGTCATGCTGAGGTGCTTTTCCTTTAGGAGCATCTCTGAACTTCATACTTTCAAAAGCTTAACATTCATTACTCATCAGGACAACATGAACAAGGTGGCAGATGTTTGTGGGATATAAAACCCAACATTCACTGATTAAACATCATTATTATGGAGATTTTAAAAGCTTCCTTTCCCCGGATCAATTCTGAACTCAAATCAGGGAGAGGGAAGACTCCTGCTACCTTTAGCTGCCACGCAGAATAGTGCTCTAAGTTGACCTGCGGGGCTGGCCAATGACCACTGAGGCAGTCGCATGAGGTTCAGTGTTGTGTAACAGGAGAGACTCTGCCTTAACAAAACATAACTTCAAAGCAAAGAAGTATGAAAAGGAAGAATAACCAAAATTCTGGTTATAGGTGGTAAAGGCTCTTTTTCAGAACAGTGCATGTGGTAGTGAGACAAGATGCATTTAGTAACTTTAAAAATAAACATTTTCACATACTTATCTCAAGAAAGCTATCATGTTTCATTTTTTATACATTATAAATAGCAAAACCAAATTTCTAATGCTAAGATGCTTCAACTAGTACGATAACTTAAGTGTATGGAGACCACCAGTAATGAAAAAGATGGTCTTACTTTCCTTCAACCCAGGAATGAGTGGCAGTCAGCCCCTATCTAATGGCCCCTAATCTGTGGGAAGAAATTCCATGGGAAGAAGGGAAGCACAAGTTTAAAAAGAAATATGCATAATGTACATGTATATTTACAGTAAACTTCAGTAACCATTATATAAACAAAAATAGCTTCAAGTAGTCCATCTATTTAATACTGATCGTCTGAGGAGAAAAAGATGAAAATTAGATGGATGATATTAAAATTTTTTATATTTTGGCAGCTTTTTCTAACACTTATCATGCAATGTTTTGCGTGAATATTTTGAGAGACGTGATTAGATGGTCACATTATTTGTCTGAGTTTGTGGTGGGAATCCACAGCAGATAATAGGCTCATATGTGGTCTTCACAATTTAATCTATACAAAGAGAAAAACCTGGATGGATTAGGAAGAAATGTTTAGGGATCATTTTCTCTGGGGCATTTAAACAAAAATTAGAGGAATCTGACCTTAAGATCAGTGAATATGAGAATAGTATGGCTACTGAAACTTCAGCCCATGCAATATATTTGGCAGAAACTAACCAGCAGTTAAAACAGCATTGGTTATTTTGACATTAAATATCATCAAAAAACAAAGCATGTATTCTCATCTTCATTGTATAACCAGATATCTGAGACAGGTTCTGATGGCTTAATGGAAACAATAGCTTTTTTACTTTTCCCAAAATATCACAAGTTAAAATTTTAAAATAGAGGGCTTAGGCTTTTCATTTATAAATTCCTTGGAAAAAAAAATCATACTCTACTTTAGCTCCTAACTATCCTAAAATAAACCCAAAGGTTTTTTGCTTTCATAGTTAAGAAAGCTTATATGTGTTCTTCAAATTTCAGAAATCAGATGGTCCCTTAGGTCTACAACATCCCCACCTCCCCCAGTCCAACTTCTCTCTCTGAGAAGGGAAAGAGGGTGGGAAGAGGCACATATAGCTGACAAAAATCCCCAAGCCCAAGGTGGCTTTTAGTGAAATCGACTCAAATACAGCAGCCAAGGCACAGCTGGCACCATCCCCAGCAGACTTCAAAGAGGCCTTTCCACTTCTGTAGGAGGCCCAGGAATTCAGCATAGAAAGTCTTAGCCATATGCTGAGACAAGAGGCCCCAAGATGAGATGTGTTTACCTCTCTAGCCACAAAGGACACACATCTGCTAGTTTATACCATAAACTCGTTATTTCCAAAGAGTGCTAGCTGTTGGGTGGAGCTGCAGTCTGGGTCTACAGGTTTCCTGCGGCCAGACATGACTGTCCCCTCTGGGGTCTCTTTGGTTTTCTGAGGTGAGTTTTTCACATTCTTTAGTTTTTGTTTGCCCTTTTCAGGATTAAAGGTTCCTCTGCTGATGAACTGAGGCCTCTCTTCTAGGGGTCTGGTCTGGCCCAAAGGTCCTTCTAGTCCCAGGGCCTCACCAGCTGAGGCAGCTCGGTAGAATGGAGATTTAGAATAAATTTGAAATCGTTTTCTGGTGCCGTGAGACAATGCAGTGTTAGATAGATAAGAAGAGATGGAGGAGTCCACTGAATCCAAAGAGTCTTGCTGCTTTTTTAGCTGCTTTCTCAACTTGCTTGAAGGTTCAGACTTTCCCGGTGCTTTCAGAGAGCTAAGGGCTAAGCTTCTCTCTAATACAAAGAGAGACCAAAGTTGTAAATGACAGTTCCCTCTAAAGAAAATTGTGATGCACTGAGTAGGTATCACTGTTCACATATGAAATTCACATACAGCTAAAATTTGTAAGGTCTAGGATGATTTACTCAGTGCACATTCATAACTCAAAAAGAGCTCTCCATCCATTTATACATACATCATTTCAGAATCAGCCCCAAGGAAGTCCTTATGTTCAACTCTGCCATCAGTAGTGATCTAAAAAATATCATTTAAAAAACTATCTGGAGGGCTGGGGCTTTAGCTTAGTGGTAGAGCACTTGCCTTGCATGTGTGAGGCACTGGGTTCGATCCTCAGCACCACATAAAAATACATAATTTTTGTGTTCATCTACAACTAAAAAACAACAACAACAACAACAACAAAACTCACATGTCTAGATGTGTATATAGTAAGTTCTGCCTCCCTGAGACACACTACCCAGATAAATGCCTCCTTTGGTATATGGATCCATCTTACTGCAGATGCCTCCCACTCTTAGAAAAGAGGCATGGGACAATAAAACAACATATAATTACTGGCTTTTCTCCATGGTAAATACAGGAAAAAATATTAACAAAAAAGTACACTACATTGAAGGGGTGGTCTGATGAACAATTTACGTGGAGGCTGTATAAAGAAAAATGCTTTCTTAGGACTTTGTCACCTTTTCAGGTAAGGTCAGTGCACCAATAAAGGAATTTGTCTAGCTTGAGAATTCTATTCTTACTTTATAAAAGAAATCTAAAGTCTTTAGTTTAACATGTTCATTTACCTGATCTTCCAGAGGTGGTACCTTCTGACTCCATATTCAAATTTTCAGAGCTATCAGCAGTCCCAATGGAGGCTTCAGACTCAAGGGTTTCATCATCAGAGGCACGGGGTTCCAGTACAAGCATCTCAAATGTTAGTTCCTCCCTATAAGATACAACAAATAAATCCATTAGCATTTGATAGGAAGTGCAAGAACAATAATAGAAAGAAAGACCTTTTATGAAAGTTAAGAATCCAAATAGCAAAGAGAGCTCTTCTTCTTATCCCTGTCTGGGGTAGTGATGAGGACCTACTCTTAAATTAAAGGATAAGGCAACAACAAACAACAAACCTAGGACCAATGACAGGGTTAAGGGTAGGCTTTTGGTAAAAACAAACTCTGGACAAACAATTAGCAGATAAGGATTCTAAACTCTTTCCTCTCTGAACCTCAGCTTCCTCATCCAGGAAACAAAGAGATTAAATAGGTAATCTCTAAATTCCTACCAGTTCCTTAACTGTTTTCCATTAATTTTCCTAACTGGATACAGACTTTATTCTCTACCTTGGTCACAGAGAGGCCTCTTGATAAAGTAAAACACTGATGTTTTCCGCCATTCAAGTTTTGTGTCATCTCTTAGTCATAGTATGCTCTATTCTTCTTCATCACAGCACCCATCTACCTCAGTCACACACCTTATTCCCCCAGGGATTTGGTATTTGGCTCCTAGTCTTTCTCAATATTTCCTGATAATATCTCAATCTATTTCAATTAATATCTTTGTAAAAACTTACTTCAAAGCCCTAATACAAAGTTCCTTTATGTCTATACCTTCTTTTTCTCTGCTTTATATACATAACTTTCTCTAATGGGTAGATCCTGCAATTAATCATTACCTGGAAATATACCAACTCTGAATCCAGTACTCCCTTCTCTATCTACTGCTTCTTTATCCTTCCAATTTTTACTTCCTTTTAAATCAAGTAATCAAGTTTCCCTGTTAGACCCCTCTCTCAGCTTCCGTTGAAGTCTACCTAGCTTGAGATACACAATCTTTTCAAGGACATTCTCACCAGTAATTTACTATAGTGATTACAATTGCCATGTGCATTCACCTCTCTGAGACTACTCAAACTTCTTCCTTTTTCAGCAAAGACTTTCCCCATTTAGCAAATTACTATTTATCCTTGATACTTCTAATTCCAACCTCACCAAAGGTGACATAGGTCCTCTTTTCAGATTACTCTTCTACCAAATTGTGAGCCTGAGCAGTATATATTACCTTGACCTTATGATCTAATCAATCCTGACCGACAAAACATACTCTTATTTCTGGTCTCTCTCCATTCTCCTGGCCACTCACTTTTCTTTCTGTAGGTTTCTCTCCATTCTCCTGGCCACTCACTTTTCTTTCTGTAGGTTTCTCTCCATTCTCCTGGCCACTCACTTTTCTTTCTGTAGGTTATCAATTTGTTCAGTGAATACTCTCTTCCCCTTGTGAATCAAGTTCTGAAAGTTAAGATGCAATTTCCAGGAACTCAAGAAGAAAGATAATTTTAGGACTCTTTAAAACTCTCAAGTCAACCAGAATCAGTGCATAGTACACTCAGGGAGAACTATGGGATATTCATATCCCTAAGAGGTAGTGTCATCTCACCCCTGCCCCCAGTGATGACAGAGATAACAGAACTTCTAATTGGTCTCTCTCTTAAACTGCAACCAGTTTCTCTACACAGTATCCCAGGCACCTACTAAGAGTGCTGCCTTATCCTGACCATTCAGTTCCTGGATCCGTAGCCAAGTGGAACTTTCTTTCAGAAAATTGTGATGCTCATTCTTCAAAGGGACTTTGCTTTAACATCAGGATTCTTATTCTTCCTTTTTTCCCCTAACATGTCAGGACACTTGTACCTCATCTTGGCTCTCCTAACTTATACCAGATGAATCTTAACTAAGACTAAATTACTCTGTGGATAGTATAAACTTCTCATAGTTAGCCTGTTCAGAATCATCACTACAGCAGCATTAAGTCTTCTAGCTCATGGAAATTCCTTTCCTTAAATAAAAACTTTCATACATTACCTGAGTATAGGCAAAATGCCTTTGTCATCTTCACATTTCCTGTATCACCTGAAATGTGCTTGACATGTAAGATATATTAAATAAGGAAAGATAAAGGAAGAACAGAAGGAAGGAATGAAAAAGACAGTAACTGGTCTCTCTCCTTCCTCCTGGGTACTCACTTCTCTTTCTGTAGGTTCTCAATCTGTTCAGTTAATACTCTCTCCTCCTGCTGCATAGCCACTTGCTGCTGTTCTGTGATGTCAGTCTCTGTGGCTGCCTCACTAGCCGAGGTCTCTTCTGGGACATCAGACACAGAAGGCAACCGAACTGTAACTGGAGAGGATGGACTTGGATAGTTTCCTCGATGAACACGCCCCTTTCCCTGCAGAGAAAAATTCATATTAGAAAATAAACTGACTTCATCAGTTTTATGTTGTTTAATTGGGGTAACGAGTATACTTCCATCACACCACATGAATGGTAGATATAAATGGAAACATTCTGTGGGACCTAGGATATTTAGTGAGACATCATATACACAACACATTCAAGTTAAAAGAGTTCTTGTAAGAGCACTGGAAAATAGACACATCAGTGGGTGGGAGTATAAGAACCCATTGTGTTCTGAGATATATATATATATATATATTTTTTAATCTAAGCTGCATCTATTCCAAAGTAAACAGATAGAGGTAGTTATTTAATTTTAGGCCAATTAAAATTAAAGATTTAGTTTTGCAGGCACACCAACCACATTTCAAGTGCTCAATAGGCCACTGGTCGTTATCAGACGGAAAAGTGCAGATACAGACCATTTTCATCATTAAAGGAAGTTTTGATAGATAACAGTTCTCTGTAACATTGGAATGTACAATCTTTTTAGAAAGACTATTGAAACATCTTGAAACTTGGTTTTGTTAAAAAATTTTATATATTACAGAACACTAGTGAGATACATTTTCTCATAAATTTCCATTCTTGTTATAGGGAGGGGAGAGATCTCCTTATTTTTTTAAAAACTGGTTACCTCACATGTGATGTTAGCTTCTGATATGGCACACTAGGTTTTTCAGATTAAATCTTTTGCTAAGAACAACTAAGCCAAACATAAAACTCAACATATACATATGTTTGAAAATACTAAAGAGCTAAGAGGGTAGAACAAGGAGAGGCTAGCTCAGTATTTAGAACTAATCTGAATTTCGGAAGAGGTGGCAGAGGGTTCAAGCAGAGCTTTTGACAGACTGTAGCTGGGAATGGCAAACTTTGACCCATGAGCCAAATCTAGCCTTGTGCCCATTTTTATAAATAAAACATTACTGGAATACATTACTGGAATTCACTCACTGTCTATGACAGTTTTGTAGAACAGTACCTGAGACTGTATGGTCCACAAAGCCTAAAATATGTATTTTCTGGTCTTTAAAACAAAAAACTTTGCCAACCCCAAGGTTAAAAAATAAAAGGATGTGGGTTGCTGCCTGGTAACACGATGCCTAACATTGGGATTCCCAAGATTTATATTCTAAACAAAAGGGTAAACTGAAATTTTAACAGTCCTTGAAGACACTATAGCCTGGCTTTAAGTCATCGGAATGGTCCAGAAAACTATAATTCCTAAAATTGGATTAAATGATTCCTGATTGTCAGTGCCTTAAATTTTGGCAGAAAAAAAATTAAGATACACATTGGAGGACTCTCAGTAGTGGATCAGAAAAGTAACATCATCTTGGCCCTCAAAAGTTTTACAAGTAATTTTTCAAGTAAAAAATAACCAAGTATAAAAGAAGACAAGATAATATAAATGAAAACTAGTAAAACCACAAAAAAAGAAAGTCCTCAAAAACTCCAGATATTGTGACTATAAGACAACTTAAAATAATCATACTGAAGGAGATAGAAAGGTATAGTTGAATTAACAATCTGAAAATTAAGTCAGAAGAAAAATCTAGAATAAAGCAGGGAAAAAAAGAATAGAAAATTGATTAAAGAAGGTAAAATACAGAAGACACAATAAAAAGATCTAACATGTTTAAATGATATACTAGAAGAGACAACATAGATCCTATAGAAGAAATACTGACAAGATAATCGCACAGCATTTAAAAAACAAAGACATTAAGATTTAAGAACGCCTATAGGACTAAATAGATGTATATATCTAGACACATAAAACTGATAAAAATCCAAGGCAAGAGAAAACCTTAAAAATAGAGAGGAAAAAAATAAATTACCTGCAAATAAGGAACAACTATTAGATTCAAAGCTCAACAGATATAATGGAAGGCAGAAAACAACGGAATATTTTCAAAGTGATGAAAGGAAAAATTAACTCTAACCTAGAATTCTATACATTGCAAAAACAACTTTCAGGAATGAAGGTGAGATAAAACTATCTTAAGGAAGAGAACCTAAGGACTGGGTTATAGCTCAGTGGTAGAAAGCTTGCCTAGCACATGCAAGGCCCTGGGTTCGATCCTCAGCACCACATAAAAATAAATTAATAAAATAAAGGTATTGTGCCCAACTATAACTAAAAAAATAAATATTAAAAAGAAAAAAAATGAAGAGAACCTGACACTGGCAGACCCATGCTAAGGGAAATACTAAAAGGTAGACAGAAAATGACCTGTCTTTAAGAAAAGAGATGCAAGAATAAATAAAAGGCAATAGTAAATATGTGAGTCTAAATGAAAACTTACTACATAAAATATAGTGGTATATTTTGGATTTAAAATAAACAGATAGTTAATATACAGTAATGATAACCAAGTCACATACTAGCTAAAGTGTCAAAATCCTTGTGCATTATCTGGGGAAAAAAATACAAGTACCAATGAATAGACATTGATAGGTTACAGATTTATAATGTGATATTTAAGTACAAAAAGAATAGCTTTAAGGGTATGTGAAACTTCTGAACTAACAGAAGGAAAAATGTAAGTAATCAAAAGAAAAAGAAGAACAAAATAGGCCAGAAATAAAAGAAAATATATGAGATAATGTTAGAGTCTGTAAACAAGTCTGGATGGTGCCTGGCAAAATGCCAGAGGGAGTGGTTTGTGAAGTAACACCAGCGAGCCATTAAGTGTGGAGATTCCTTATTGGTTGACTGATGTATCTAGTTTATGCTAATTAGATAAGCTGTGTGGAATGTATAAATACTGCTCCTGTCCTGCAATAAACGGCTTCCACTCCTGCTGTATCAAATATAAGATAGTTGTAGTTTTGTGGATTGGTTTCTGTGTCCTCTATTCTGTACCATTGGTCCACCCGCCTGTTTTGGTACCAGTACCATGCTGTTTTTGTTACTATTGCTCTGTAATATAGTTTTAAGTCTGGTATCGCTATACCGCCTGATTCGCACTTCCTGCTTAGAATTGCTTTTGCTATTCTGGGTCTTTTATTTTTCCATATGAATTTCATGATTGCTTTATCCATTTCTACAAGAAATGCCGTTGGGATTTTGATTGGCATTGCATTAAACCTATAGAGAACTTTGGTAATATCGCCATTTTGATGATGTTAGTTCTGCCTATCCATGAACAGGGTATATTTTTCCATCTTCTAAGATCTTCTTCTACTTCTCTTTTTAGGGTTTTGTAGTTTTCATTATATAAATCTTTCACCTCTTTTGTTAGGTTGATTCCCAAGTATTTTATTTTTTTTGAGAATATTGTGAATGGAGTGTTTTTCCTCATTTCCGTTTCAGAAGTTTTGTCACTGATATACAGAAATGCCTTTGATTTATGCGTGTTGATTTTATATCCTGCCACTTTGCTGAATTCATTTATTAGTTCTAGTAGTTTTTTTGTAGACCCTTTTGGGTCTTCTAGGTATAGAATCATGTCTTCTTTGATATAATGAGAGCAACTAAGAACAGAGCAGGGAGGAAGAGCAGGAAGAAAAGATTAACATTAAACAGATACATGAGGTGGGATGGAAAGGGAGAGAAAAGGGAAATTGCATGGTAATGGAGGGAGACCCTCATTGTTATACAAAATTACATATAAGAGGTTGTGAGGGGAATGGGAAAATAAACAAGGAGAGAAATGAATTACAGTAGATGGGGTAGAGAGAGAAGATGGGAGGGGAGGGGGGATAGTAGAGGAAAGGAAAGGTAGCAGAATACAACAGTTACTAATAGGGCATTATGTAAAAATGTGGATGTGTAACCGATGTGATTCTGCAATCTGTATTTGGGGTAAAATTGGGAGTTCATAACCAACTTGAATCTAATGTATGAAATATGATATGTTAAGAGCTTTATAATGTTTTGAACAACCAATAAAAAAAATTAAAAAAAAAAAAGAAAGCATCTATTTGTACGTATGAGCACATGAGTATGCATTATGTATGTGCATATGTAAAAATATTTTTAAATAAATGTAGGCATATGTTTTCTACATCAAAAAAATTTTTTTTTTAAAAAAAACTTAAAAATTATCTATTTCAAGATACCAGATAAAGAACAACAGCAGCAAAAAAGCCCAAAGGGAACAAAAAAATAAGAAGAGAATCAAAGCCTAAATATTATCTTTCAAAAGATCATTACAAATTTTCAAAACCGTGGCAAGACTGATGAACAAAAACAGAGGTTAAAAAAAAAAATAACCAATTTTTGGGAATGAAACAGTGGATATCAGAATAAATTTTACAGACATGAAAAGGTTAAGAGATAGTAGACTATGAACAACCTTATGCTGTTAGACAAAGTGGAGAAATTTCTATAAAACCCACTAATTAATGTTGTCAAAAAGAATTTTAAAATTTGAATAACATGATACTACAGAAATTAAAATTCATAAGCAAATCTTTCCAAAAAGAAATCTCAAGGCCTAGACTTTACTGGTAAACAAGAAATAACAAGAAAAGTCTTTGATAGAATTAAAAAAGGACTATTCTCCAACTTGTCAAAAGACAAGTCATCAGGGACATTCAAAATGGTGGGCTAGAGAAATGCTGCATTCCCAAGCAATAGGAGTACTGCTTCTCTGTGAGATTGTTGCTATTGTTTGTTTCCCATTATTCTGTGAAGTGCTGAGAACCTAGAGGACACTATAAGTTCATAGGGTAGATACTCTGTTACTGAACTAAACTCAACCAAAAGACAGTAAACCTTTCTCCATATACAAATGACACTCAATCTTCAGCTATACATATACAGAAAGAATAGAAGAGACAAAAACCTAAACTAATGATCGGCCCCCAACTAGAAATGGCTAGTGGTCAACCCACAGGAACCACCTACGGACATCCATTTCTTTGGCAAAAACAGAAATAACAAAAAGTCTGTGGATACCACACTTATGGGGTGGGTGGGTCTCAATCCAGATCACTCTAGGACACTTCAGCAACTGATGTCTGTGTCTTAAAAAGGCC